ATTTTATAGGATTACATTGCAAATCATCTCATATTGAATGCATAACTTATTGTTCAGTACCATCAGTTTGCACATCTGACCATAAACCAGTATGGGGCTTGTATAAATGTGTCATTAGACCGGGCATAGACACGTAAGTAATAAAAATCTGTAGATATATAGTAGGGAATTGCAAAATAAGTATCTCTAAAATAATAGTATTATTAAAAATAGACTTTCTATAAAAATTCAAGATAAAAAAAAATTTAATTGTTGCTTGATGTGCTTAAAGCAAATTGACCAACAATACCCTAAAAATTAATTATGATTTAAACTATTACTTTTTTAGACAAATATCATAAATAGCATATCTAACTTTATTTATTTTTGGTGTTTAGTTCAAGTGTTTTAGTTTCTAAAATCTAAACAAAGTATTGATTACAAAAAAATATAATTAATGGATTAGTCTCCAATTAAACGAAAATATTGAAAAAAAAATTTAATTATTATTTTTAATGATTGGTCAGTGTCTTTTAGGTGATACATTTTTTTTTTTGTCTTTAATGAAGCTCAAAATTTAAATTTTTTTGGCAAAATAAAAGTTAGAAATTGTATGCAATTTTTTTTTACTTTGAAAATCGTATTTACTAATGGGAAAAGCCTTAAACACGTATTTTTGTTTGCATTTTATATGTTACAAAATTTTCATTTTAAAAAATTTAGTTTTTTTTCAACATTTATTTTATGTTTATGAGGTTTGCCTTTTGGTGATTATGATAATAATCAACGGCATATTTATATGCAGGCAATATAGGCAACTGCCTACAATGGCATATTTAAATATTGAAGGCCATCATATTTATAAAAAACAAGTTATTTTTTTATTGTTGTTATGACATATTGACTTCCTAATAATTTTCATTTATTGTGTATTTATGATATTTATATTAATAGCTATAAGCAGTTTATTTTATGATTTATTAATAAACTTAGATTTGTTTGAAAAATATTTTTAGATACTTTTTTTTTTTTGAGGAAGAATTACTAGTGTTATAGTAAAAATATATAAAAATGAGCCCCATCCGTCATAACGTAATGAAGGACAGCATATTTTTAAATGCCTAAAGGCGGAAAATATGTGAATACGCCCCTAATAATAATTATCATATATAATATGTATATTATCATATACAAGAGACAAGTCTTAATACATAAATTTTGTTTGAGCCACTTATGAGGGTTCCAAGTTTATTCAACTTTATCGTAGCATAGATATATTTTTTATTTTTAGAGGAAAATAAATACATCTAATTCCCCCCCCTCCATTAACAGCATATTACTATGATTTAAGTAATTAATACAAATTTGTACTGGTTGATGGTGTGTTTGGAATAACCTAACAAAATTTATAAATGTCTATAATTATTATAAATTAATATATTATTGACTTGAAAACTTAGTAGTGTGTTGTTATCAGGTTTATGGTTTTAGGGAGGTTTATATCCCCTTAAAACAAAAAAACATTTCTATGCTGTTATTTATTTTTTATTTATTAGATATAAAGGGGCATGAGCGCAGGTTACCATTTACGGAGTAATATATAAGAAAAACAACATATAACAAAATAGGTTAAAAAGTACATAATTTTATTGGAAAAATGACGGATCCTCATTGGCTAACTTCATCATACGGTTGATTGCCTCGTTTATTAAATAATTAGTAAGGTAATGTGGAATAAAGAAAGTATATGAGTTGCGAGTGTACCTTACAGGAACTTTAAAGTTGATTTAACAAAAAAGGAAGGGGAGTTCATAGAGCCTAATTAGAGCTTATTAAGGAAAGTAAGATTATAAGAACGGCGGCGGTCAGCTAGGGAGGATAAGTTAAGAAGAAAAAAAAGGGGAGAATAATTAAGTATTAATGTGAATTTCCTCAGATTTATTTTTAATGTTTACATCAGTAGACTATATAGGGTAAATAATTAGAACAAAATAAATTTGTCACATTAAAGTCTCTATGTATTTGAAGCCATCAGTAAAGTTTTATCATTCTATCCTAAATATCACAGATAGAAGGGAAATAAATATATACAATATAATAGTAGATAAAGTATATCTACTAGGCTTTGTTATTTCACAGAAAAAATGTTCGAATTCAACTTTATTAGTCATTCTATACCAAATAAATTACAAAAAAAACCCAGCACAGGGGGGTCGCGACACAGTGGTGACGTGGCATAGTTGGATCAAGTATAATGATATCTGACAGTGATTAAAATGACTATCAAAAAAAAAACGCTTCGATGCAAATCTTTAGATAGTGTTTAATATTAAAAAATTGGTGTATTATTCCAAAAGCTACATGATCTGCTAGCTCCTTATTAATATCCTGATTAATATAAAGTATGTCGAATGAAAAAGGAATTATTAAAACTATTATTTCTCATAAAAAAATTGTGNGAAAAAGGGTTTATTAAAAAATATTATTTCTCATAAAAAAATTGTGTTAATCCATACACTTTTCAATAAGTTATAGCATTATAAAGTAAAAAATGTAAAAAATAAAATCGAGAATTTTCACACAAATATAGCATTCGGTAGCCATTTTCCCCACANACAAAAATAGCATTTGGTAGCCATTTTCACCGTGAAGATAGAATAAGGTCCGAAATTTTTTTTGCCATAATAAAATGTATTACATCANAGTCCAGAGGTCAAATTTTTTTTTTTCATAATAAAGTACATTACATTAGCTTTAATTTAAGATATATATAAAAGTGTCAGACCTTCCGGAACATTTTCAAAAGTTAAGTTGAAAAAGTTAATTTTTTGTGAAAAAAATGTCATTTTAAATCCCCCTCTGTGGGCAGGTTAAGTGTCAGCTTTACAAAAAAAATATATCAAATGATAGGTAAAGACATCAAGCATCTAAAAAAAAAAATATATATATATTGATATGTTCAATTTTTAAGGGTAATGTCTCCAACTAGATACGATTTGTGATCTTTTGACGTACATTTGAAAGAAA